GGAAGTGGAACCAGTGAAATCTATGAAACCCAGATCTCGGTGGCAGTTGCTAACGGAAAGCTCAGCAGTTTGAGCCTCCCAGCAGCAATATGGTATATATAATACTTTACAAAAGGTCAGAGATTCAAATCCACCAGTTAATCACAGGGAGAAAAAAGAGAAGTCTCCTGAAGTACAGAGCCACAGCCTTAGAACCCAACAGAAATGGGTTGGGTTTTTTGGTTTAAAATCCACCTCCATGGAGCTGATTATGATTCCAAGGCTATAAATCTTTACAGGAGGAGACTGCCCGTCTCTCTCCCAAGGCACGGTTGGTGGATTTGAACTGCCCACTTTCCGGTTAGCAGCCTGACACATTACACACCATACCATCAGATGGTTCACTGCTGTGGTTTTTGGTAGTATATTTAAATTAACATTAACATATTTATATATTTAAGTATAGTAACAACCTTAGAAACCCCATAAGGAGCTATGGATTGGTATTGACTCTCTCTTCTATTTCTCTATCTATCTATCTATCTATCTATCTATCTATCTATCTATCTATCTATCTATCTATCTTTCACTCACTCACTGCCCCTGAGCCAGAAGTGACTGACAGCTGACCCTCCACTGGGTTTCCCAGACTGTGAATCTCACGTGAGGAGACTGCCCGTGTTTTTCCCAAGGAGCTGCTGGTGGATTCGAATCCCCAGAGAGGTGTGGCCTTTGGTTAGCAATGCAACCATCCACGGACTACACCAACAGAGTTCCACACGTTGTTATGTGCTGCCAGGTCAACTATGACTCACAGCGACCCTACAAACAACGGCTCTGAACCTTGCTTTATCCTGAGCATATGTAACATACATTTCTACATGGTGTTTTGTCTGATATTATTTGTTCACGCTCTGAAAAATATATAGCATACATTCATAGATTATTTTAAGAAGCACTGATATCTTGACTGCACTAAGTATTCCTATACTAGTATGACAACACAAATTTCCATTTTTGTACACATCTAAAATTTTTCTTTCTCCTATATGTCTGATGTTGTTGTTATGTGCCATCGAGTCGTTTGTGACTCATAGCGACCCTACATACAAGAGCTCTAAACGTTGTTCTATCCTGTGCCAACCTAGCCATCTCAAAGGCACTTATTCCCACAGCTCCAATCACAGAATCGATCCTCCTCCTTCTCTATATTTCCATTTCTAAGATCTCAGTCTCAACTGCCATGTTTGCTAGTCCAAGCAATAGTCTAAGTGTGCTCTATTGTACACAGGGTTTTCGAAGGCCTGTTTTTTCGGAAGTGGATGGCCAATCCTTCTTCCTAGTCTTTCTCAAATATATATAATAGTATCTGACAGACAAGCATTCCACAGAAGAGCAGATAAAAGACAATTGCCCAGTTATAGCAATGACCAATAGATTCAATGTTGCTGCCCACCCACGCTTCCTTACTCCACCACCATCCCTTCCTACTTTTGCCTACACCATTCAATATCCATCTCCCATTGACCAGCCCCTGATGTGATAGCCTAAGTCCCAAGCCATCAGGATTTCTGTGATTCTGATTCTGAACATATCGTGCTGTTGTGAGTCTCTTATGATATAGCCAATATGACTTTGTCTGATATTTTTTAAATAATTTTTTTATTTGAATTGTGATTTTAACTGAAGTTTACAGAAAAGTTTGACTTTTATATACTCATTGTTGCACATTTTACCTCTTTCCCCTCTCTTCCCTCTCCCAGTTAGCTTTTAAATGTTTTTAATTAATTATAATGAAAGTTTATAGAGACTGGATTTTCATTCATTCATTGTTGTACATCCAGGAATAAGCTTAATAATGGTAAGAATTATCAGACAGGGAGAAAAATGTCTGATACTTCTTAGCATTATTAAGCTTATTCCTGGAAGTGTAACCTATTTTGTTTCTATTACAATTGCAGTACTTTACCATTATGAAAGTGCGTTGTTGTTGTTGTTGTTGTTATGTGCCATCAAGTCAGCTATGACTCATAGCGACAACTCTGAACCCTGCCCTGTTCTGAGCCAGTCTCACTGACTCTGACACACCTACTCTCATTGCCCTAATTACTATATCAATCCATCTCATCCTGTGTCTTCCACTCCTACACTGTCCCTCCACCCTTCCGAGCATAATGTCTTTCTTTCTCGAAGGATCAGTCCCTCTGGGCCACGTGCCCAAAGTATGTGAGATGGAGCTTCAAAATCCTAGCATCCAAGGAGAAACTTGGTTTCAACCTCTTTAAGGCAGACCTATTTGTTTTATTGGTGGTCCATGGTATGCACAAGACTCTTCTCCAATAGCGCAACTCAAAGGCATCAATTCTTCTGTCATCCTTAGTCACTGTCCAGCTCTCTGATGCATAGCAGGTAATTCGGAAGAGCATGGCCTGGATCAGGCACACCTTGTTCTCTAGACTGACATTGTCACTTCTCAGTACTTTACAGAGGTCCCTGATAGCAGATTTACCAAATGCAATTCGTCTATTGATTTCCTGACTGCTAGTTCCCAGCTATTTAATAAACAAAGCAATTTTTGTTTAATTTTAAAATGTGCAATTTTATTAGATACTCCTTTTGTTTCTGTTTCAATTCATTTCTAATTTTTGTATGCACAAAATGACATTCACTTCAAACAGTGCAAGTATAGCCTCATCTCAGTCACTATTTACAATGGTTTTATTTCTCTCTCTTGTCCAACTGTTATCTAGTGCACCAGCAGTCAGGAAATCAAAAGATGGGAAATCAGTCTATTCTTGGTACAAGCAGTCAGGAAATCAAAAGATGAATTGCACTGGGAATATCTGCAGTCAGAGAGCTCTCCAGAGTACTGAGAAGCAACAATGTCAGTTTAGAGACTAAAGTGTGCCTGAGTCAGGCCATGGTCTCTGCGGTTACTTGCTATGTATCAGAGAGCTGGACAGTGACTAAGGATGACAGAAGTAGCTCTGGATGAAGGCCCTTGCTTCTCTGAACTTTTGTTCCTGGGTAATCTTCAGGTGGTTCTGCATTCCTCTTTCCACATCTCTGCTTCTGTCTGTTTAACCTCTCTTCTGTATTCAAAGAAATGGCCTTAAGACACATTCTACACTAATACTGAATGAGGAAAACCCATTCCCTAATCGGATTATAACCATAGGCACTGATGGTGGGATTTTTAACACAAATTTTGAGGGGACAATTGTACACATAATACCAAGTTTCTGTCTCTGACCTCTACTCCCATTCTACTGTGGATACTTTTCAAAACAAGAGAAAAGAAATGTCTGTGGAATTCTGGCAAGTATCTTTTGAGTAGTTCTTGAAACATGAATAAGGCTTTTCTTTCTTGACCCATCAGTATGGTGAAGCTTGAAAAGAGACTTCCTAATGCTGAATTCTGGTTACACCCAGATCAGCCTCCTGGGCAAGCTCCTCCTCTTTTATAGCACTGCTAAATTCTATGTGCTAACATTTTATCTATGATCTTTCATGTGTATCAGTACGTCAAATAATTAGAGCACTTTTCTCTATTATTAAAAGACATATTGCGATGGGAAAGTCTGCTGTTAGGGACCTCTCTAAAGTACTGATGAGCAATGGTGTCTCTCTAGAGACTAAGGTGTGTCTGACACAGGCCATGGTCTTTGCTATCACTTGTTATGCATCAGAGAGCTGGACAAAGACTAGGGAGGATAGAAGGAGAATTGATTCCTTTGAGCTGTG